TCCCTAGAAGTCAGTCTTCAACTGTGAGGACCAACAGAGAGCTATCGAGACGGCCTTCGAGAAATTGAGACGGCCTTCGAGAAATTGATTCGTCATTGAACAGAAGGGTTCAACCACTGGTTGGAAACTATAATGGTAGCAACGAGTCACCATCGACTAAAGCCATGGGTTGATTCATTGATTGATTGATCCATTCATTCATTCATTCATTCATTCATTCATTCATACCTGCAGCCTGCAGGGATTTTTTTACTTTCTCAAGTCGAAAAAGAAGAATCAAAGGCAGCCAACACCACCTAGCACATACAAGGATAGGAGGGCATGTGCACCTGACCCTCACCTCCCCAATCTGCTGATATGCAGCATCATTCAGAAATTCCGAGACGGCAAAGAACCGTGCCGACGTGGACAGCACCAGGCCTGCATTGGGCCTCTCCAAAATCAAGTAAGCACCTGTAACCAGCACTTTGCCAGGAGCAGAGGCAATCACCCTACAACCAGATGGCCAAAATCAAACATATAACAAAACAAAATTCAGAAATGAAAAAGTGAAAATAAAAACCCATAACAAGAAACAAAAACGCATCAGTTGTTGTACCTGCAAGGAGTGAGCTGCCAGTTGACATGGATTCTTCGTTGCCCACCAGAGAAACAGGTCCTCGCTCCACTAGTCTCGACATGCGCAAACACGAGAATGAATCTTCCGCTTGAACATGGAAAGATACACCGCCATGATTTCTGTATTTTTGTGCATCTCGCGAGTAGCGGAGCTAGGCCTACAACTCCCCAAAAGAACAGGGTAAGAAAAAAGGAAGACGAAAAGCGTCAAACACTCCTTTTCCTTTTTCTTCGCGTTGAACTCCTTGACCCAACCTTTTTTTTTTCCCCTTGTTCTTCTTCTTCTTCTTCTTCTTCTTCTTCTTCTTCTTCTTAACTAGAGATCGACGATTATTTGAGCCAGGCTTAAAACAAAAGAGCCAACCTTCTGATGGGTGGCGAAGGAAGACTCAATTTTTTTCCGCCAAGAAAGACTCCGCTCACAAGACACAGAATTGGGACCAGATAATGATCTTCGTCTTGGGCGAAACCGGCGGGGGTGGCGCAACAGCCTTGCCAAAGGCAATACATGACAAAATTCAAGAACAACAAAAAGAAGGGTGAGTGAGACAAGTAGTATCCTCGAGGGAAAAAAAAAAAAAAAAAAAGCTGAGCACAGCCTCCTCCTACATGGAGATCCACACGCAATCCACAGTTGTCGAAGACACAAGAAATATATATGTATATATATATATCGTCAAACAGAGCTGCCCGGTAAACCATAGGCAGAGAGGGAGACGAGGACAATATATATTTGGCTGTGACAGACCTTTCTTTGTTTCGTGGATGTTTTCCTGGCTTGTGATGGGGTGTGAACGGACAGTCTGTAGAGTTTTCCATCTGGTGTGGATGAGTGATAGTCTACTTTGATTTTGGTTAAGGTAGATTATCATTTACAGTGTAATCAGTGAGGGGATTCTGCAGACTGTTGAGGGTTCAGCCTCCTGATGAGTCGGTGAAACTCCGACGAAACAGTTTGTCACAGCCCCTCGTTTGTTGTCCTCTTCTCTCTCTCTGCCTACGGTTTACCGGGCAGTTCTGCTTGTGACGATATCTAGTCAAACAGAGCTGCCCGGTAAACCGTAGGCAGAGAGGGAGAAGAGGACAACAACCGAGGGGCTGTGACAAACTGTTTCGTCGGAGTTTCACCTACCGACTCATCAGGAGGCTGAACCCATACATATATAAAAACAGAAATCAATATGTATATACCTTCGGTGTCCATATCCAATAGTTCATCTCCTGGTGATCATATTAGGGATATTATTATTGTTTATCCTTCATGGGCAATGGGCAAACGCAGAGACTACGGGTTCATTGCATAAAGATGTATGCCGTCTGTCTGTCATTTAAGCGACGTGATGAGGTCATGCTCTACGTGGGATTCCGACACATTTACTGCTTGTGTCTCTCACACACGAGCGCGCGCGCGCGCAAACACACACACACAAAAAAAAAAAAAAAAGATACAAAACAAACAATACAGACGAGTACTCATTGGTTAATCATTCTTTCTTCGATAAGAGCGTCGCGAACACAATACACCCACACAGACAGACCCAGAAGATTCTCATTAAAATTTTAAAAAAAGGATTCAACCTGCGGATGAGTCAGCGAAAGACGATGAAAGTATCTGTCACAACCATGCCTCCCTCATATAGTTATAATGAGAGAGAGAGAGAGAGAGAGAGAGAGAGAGAGAGAGAGAGAGAGAGAGAGAGAGAGAGAGAGATAGAGAGAGAGAGAACATATATACCGAGGACAAGGTGACATGGTCTCTGGTATTCTCGAGAAGAAGAGTATGCGTCTTGTCAAGTCAGCCCCTCCACATCTGCAGCGCCCAGTTTTTGTGTGTCCGGCCCGTCCTGCTCCTTGCTGGCCCCTGTGAATTGATGATCGCTCTACTCCTTCGAGACGCGATTCTGATGACTATGTCCTCCCACGCCCACCCCCCCTCTCCCCGCCCGCGCAAGTTCCTTGCCTTCCGCCCTGCCAATGCTGATGGCTGTGCCCCCCTCCGCTGACCCGTGTGAGAGGGAAAGTGCTGCTGTCGTCGTCAAACAGCACCCGAATTGTCATGTCATTTATGTGCGCTCGATTTGACATCAACTCAAATCCCCGCAACAACCTTTCAAACCACGTTGCGTGGATTTCTGTCCGTTGATGTCAATCTACGAAAATTCGTTCAAAACCGCAGTGTCACAGCCACGCAACAACAACAAGAAGTATGCAAGCAACCCCATAGGCGGGCCTTCCCGTCCCGCCCTCGTCCCGCCCCGTCCCGGCCCCGTCGCTTGCCCCAATCCATGTTTTTTTTTTTTTCTTCTCTCAATTTTTTTTTTTCTTCTCTCAATTCCCCTCCCTCCCCCCCCCCCCCCCCCCCCCCCCCCCCCCCTCCCTCAAAATCCTTACTTTATTATCAGGTCAAAACGAGGCCGGAGTTATCCTGGCAGCATCAGCCAGTTTCGCTTATGAGCCTCGAGCTCGTTCAACAAACACAAGAGAGCACTGGAAAATCTAGGAACAGAGGTGACCAAATCGAGGCCGCCGCTGTCCTGAAGCCCGCTCTCAAAAAAAAAAAAAAAAAAAAAAAAAAAAAAAAACCGTCTAACACGACGGGATGGTCCATAAAATGGACCACGACATTGTCACGTACTCCCTCCACTGGTATGCCCGACTGCCATCCTCCTGCGGATCAAGAGAACAGAGTACCAGGTTCCTACTCAAGACTATCCTACTTCTACACCAATTTCCCTTCTTCAAGCTTCGCCAATTTCCCGCCTGTGCCCCAAGTTTCCCCGAACCAAGATCCTTGGTTCTTCCTTCTCCAATCGGCTTGAATGATTCTTCTCAGAGAAGATTCTGAATAAAACTCTGATTTCCTTGTTTGTCATTTCTCGGTCCTCGAATATCCGCAGGTTTCTTTCTTTCCAAATGACGCAGCACCCTGCCGCTCTGGCTGCTTGGGCTATATAGCCCCAGCCCTTTTTGAGATCCATGTGATCAGGAATTCCACCGAGGAGAACCCTTTCGCGGTCCCATAACAGGTTGCCACCCACGGTACCGTCCCAAAAGGACTGCCACCAGTCCCAAATTCTCTTAGATGCTGGGCAGTCATACCACAGATGAGTGGTGGACTCATATGCCCAACTGCAGCGTTTGCAAGTCAATTCCACCTTCATTCCTCTTTGAAACAGGTTCACCGCCGAAGGGGTAGCAAGTAGGGACAAAAGCCAAAGATTCACCGCCAATCTAGGAAAAGGAGCAATCTTCAGTTGACCCCAGCAACGAGTTAATTTCCTCTCAATCTGTTCTGGGTCACAATTCAAAACCTGTCTCCATCTAGCAACTGCAACTGACGCAGGCGTACGAGGAGGCTTCTGGGCCAGGTAACCTTGTTCAACAGAGTAGAATACCAGGGCCCGGTCATCACCATCGAAACCTTCCCCTCTCCAGCCCCACATTTTTGGATCTAATTTAAGATCTGAGATCGCTGTTCCCCCTGCAAAAACTCTGCAGGTCCACTTCCCATCATCATCACACACTTCCCAAACACGGGCTTGGGCTAGTTCGGCTGTTAAGGGTGGGTGAGAGGGACCTACCTGTTGCAGAGGGATAACGGGCTTTTCAGGACTACTACCCTTCCAACACTGGAAAGTTCGTTTGCCAGAGGTGTCAATATTCAAAAGTTTCCAGAGGGTTGGGGAGGACTCAATTGGGCGACTAACGTACCAGGTGCCTGGGGGGTCTATCCCCTCCGGACTTAACCCACCAGTACTTGGCCCAGCTATCGGCCGCGGAAAATAAATAGAGTAGAAACGTTTCTAGTTGGATGAATTTGGGCGCTCCTGTAGTGGCCCGTACGTTTCCTAAAATTGCGTAGCGTTAACGCTACGCGACTGTAGGAAGTACTGGTGGTTTAAGATGAACTTCCACTAAGCTGGGATAGCCTCAATGAGTCCGCACATTCTTTCCTCAACATACCACACTGAGCCGAGAGATTCCCTCAGTGCTGCTGGGGACAGCCATTGATTTTCCCACTCATTCCACAGGTATGCAATTCTCAAAATCCCCCTCTCTATCCATCTCCTTCCGAAGCTTTGCCGAGAGTGATCAGCAGCAAACCACCTACCGTCTGTATGCCGAATATGAGGGTTCTCAAACAGTGGTTGCAGGAGAACCTCTGACTTGGTAGTTGGCTGAAGCCAGGAGTTAGGTAGCAGCTTTTTCCAGGCCAAAATTATGGCTTTCCAGAATTCCGATTTAATGTTTCTGTTCAGAAAGGAGGGTAGCAGGAGGCACGTCCAAGTATCTGATGGTCTGGAGAGGTTCCATTCCAGGCCCAAGATGGTTTCCGCCAAGGAAATCCAGTGTGTCTCTTCCTCTGAGCTTACAGCCCTAATGATCCAGCGTACTAACATTGCTATGCTCTTACGTTGCGGGTCAATTAAACCCATCCCCCCTTCTTCCTTTGGAAAGCATAGGAGTTCCCAAGCAACTTTCGACATGAAACTATCAATGTCGTTGGCAAAGGGCTTCCAAATAAACCTGGAAGCCCGTCTTCGAATTGAGGCACATAAGTTTCTCCCCAGAGGGTGGATTACAGCAACGAACCAGAGGAGGGAAAAAAGAGCCCCATTGACCACCATAATGCGGCCATAAAGAGAAAGATGTGGGGCTTTTCCCCAGGTAGAAACTCTCTGCAGTGTGTGCTGGAGAAGTATTCCTTCTTAGTCCACTGTACAGGATAGTAGGGCTACCTGAACACCTAAAAAGCGTTCGGAGCTACCGACGACTATTCTTTTCATTCCCCAATTTGCCACTGGTGAGAGAGGGGCAGGGAGGAAGAACACAGATTTAGACCAGTTAAACCACCAGTACTTCCTAAAGTCGCGTAGCGTTAACGCTACGCAATTTTAGGAAACGTACGAGCCACTACAGGAGCGCCCAAATTCATCCAACTAGAAACGTTTCTACTCTATTGTTTTCTGCTGCCGATAGCTAGGCCAAGTACTGGTGGTTTAACCGAAGCTTCAGATAACTCAGAATATTCATTAAGACAGGATTCCAGTGCTGATATTGAATTAACTGAGTTCTCTGAGATAGTCAGCAAGTCATCGGCTAATGCTTTGACTTTGCATTGGCTGGAGCCAGTCTTAATACCCATGATCTGGGGATGTGTTCTTATGTTGCATAACAAATTCTCCATTTGCAAGATAAATAAGAGGGGGGCCAGGGGGCAACCCTGGCGTAAAGATCTTGTCAGGGAGAAAGTTTCTGACAGGTTGCCGTTGACCATAACTGCGGCAGTAGAAAGGGAGTACAGGGCTACCACCCAGTTACACAAGTTTTCGTCGAAACCCACGTGTCGCAATGTAGTAAGTACGTAAGTCCAATTGACTCGATCATAAGCTTTCTTTAGGTCAAGCATCAGAATCGAGGTGTTTGCTTTAGTGTTTTCCACTACCTCAAGGGCTTCCACTGTCGTGGCTATATTGTCAAAGATGGAGCGACCTTGGACAAAGGCCGCTTGATCTTTTTCAATCAATGAAGGCAGATATCGACCTAATCGACGAGTGAGGACTTTTGCCAACAATTTGTACGACACATTCAGCACTGAGATCGGACGCCAGTTACGAAACTCCGAGCGATCCCCTTTTTTATACAGTAAGGAGATGACCCCGTTCCGCATACCCTTCGAAATATTCTTTCCTTCCAAAACTTGGTTATAAATAGCAACCAATTCCCTCTTAATGTCCCCCCAAATAATCAGATAAAGTTCCACCGGGAGACCATCATCTCCCGGGGCTTTGCCATGTGACATGGATTGCAACGCCTCCCAAGCTTCCTCCTCGGTAATCGGGCGGTTCATATCCAACTTACCCTGCGTGGAGAGTCAGGTTGTGTACGCAGACCAGTGGTTTGAGCCCTCTGAAAGGTCCTCAGTAATATCCTCATTTAGGCGCCTAGTTGTTAGTATATCTTGATAGTACATTGCAGCATAGAGACAAAGTTGAGACTGATCCTAGGCGACAGGAAGCGCCTGATCAAAGGGGTCTGACAACACACTCATCGACTGAGTCATTCGTTTTGGTGCGAGCTTATGGAAAGAATCTCTGTTCATGCGATCATAGACTGCAATCCCTTTGATTTTAAGCCGCTCCGCCCAAATATCTGATTGTTCTTGTTGAAAAGCATTTCACTCTGCCATGTGTTTCTCCCTAATACGGCTCCACACTAGGTTAGAGATGGGGTGTAAGTTCATCCAATTTTCAGCGTACTCCACCTTCTTGATTGGAGAAGCTTCTCGTTGGTTTTTCCCAGCCGCAAGGATGCGGGAGAAAATGCTCAGGTGTTTGGAGAAAATTCTGGAGCCATCATCCCACCAATCAGCAGTTGAGGCAAAGGTATCCTGGATCCTTTTCCAGTCCTCCCAAAATCTATGCATCCAATCCCTGACCCATGGGTCCTTCCTGGGCCTCTTTCAGGCTTAGCTGCATTGAAGTAAGCCATAACAGACTCATGGTTTGACAATGTGTTATCCTGTTCCAAAATATCGCTTGTAGCATTCCAAACACTGGCAGATAGTAAAAAGAAGTCAAGCCTTCTATTGACAGTTCATTTACCCTCTCGGATATGTGAAGCCCGGGTGTATCCCGGATTACCAGGGTGTAAAAAATTGTAGGGTTTCAATAAATCTAAGTCAGATATCATGTCAGTTAATATTATGACATCCCTACTACCCTTGGTTTCATCATTCTTATCCAAAGAAGTGTTCCAATCTCCCGAAATAATTAAATTATCACAGTCAGGAATGAACAAGGGAAGGTAATAGAAAAATGATTCACGTTCTTTGTTGTTAGTAGGAGCATAAATTGATGCAATCACCTACTCCTGTTTTCCCATCCAAAGTTTAATCCAACACCAACGACCCCACAAATCCGCACTGAAATCCACAATTTCTGAGTCTAAGTTACGGTGAACCAAGATAGAGACTTCGCCCTTCGATCCACGGGCTGGTGACCAAATTTGCAGACCATCCCACCACGCACCCAACTCCATCACTTTCGATTCGGATAGCTTTGTCTCTTGTAGACATACTATGTCGACCTTTTTATCGTGGACCCAACTTTTAAGGCGGCCTCGTTTGTTTCTACCATTCGAATCCCCTAATCCCCGGATATTCCATGTGACAATTTTAAGCCTGCCCATTCATGGGCAAGGCACCAGTCGATTGGATCTGGGCAGGACATAACACAACAGGAACAGACTGTGACCAAGGTTCGAGCAGAGCTTGCTTCAAGAAAAGAGAGTCAAGCTTTTTGTCCTTGCCAAGTTTGGCATTCAGCTCATAGAGAAACTCAACCGACGTATTAGTAGCAACCTTAATACGACGAAGGTCGGGCTTCCTTGCTTCAAGGAACCACGACAAAGAAATCAAGCGAAGACCCTCTCTCTCGAGAGTATCCAGTTGTCCTGGTAAGAACCGGGCATCGAAGAGCGGCGCAAAGAACTTGACACGACTACCGGCAAGATTGACAACAAATCGAGGCATAGTGATTTCATAAATAATTCGAAAGGCAAACTTGTTTTGAAATAGACTTTGAGCGAGGGTCTCAGTAGCACACGGCATCGGGGATTCCGTGCAAGCCACATGGAGCAACAGGGGGTTACCATCAGCACCGATCCAAGCAATCACCCATAATGAATCCCTAACCGCAGAGCAAATAATCGGTAGCAATCTCGCTTCTACGCAGTTTTGACCCTTAGAAAGGGCTTCCATGCGGACACAAGAAGATTTACGCTTACCTGCGGCTCTCGATGGAGTGCGGGACCCAGAGCGGATCGAACCAACAAAGTTGTCTGAAGCCTCCGCTCATGGTTGGTCGATCTGAATATAAACTCCATTGCTCTCGCTCAGCCTTCGTGATTTTCCAGGGGATTCGTCCCGAGCTCGACTTCCACCTAATGAGGTTGATCCTCCAATTAGAGCAGTCCCTTGTTGTTGTTGACCAGGGTTCCCATGCCAGAATTCGGGGCTTGAGAGGGTCCTCTCTGCCCAAAGATCCAAGGAGAGAATGCGTGCAAGTTCACAAAGGACGAGCTCGCATTCAGAAATTGGTCCGGATCGGGAACACCATGTTGTTGATGAAGAAGTGGGTACTGAGGAAGGCCTTGTAGGAGGGACGCCCAGGCAAAATTGGTCGCAGGATTCGTGGGAGGAGGCTGTTGAAAACCCACCCCTCCAATTGGAACTCCTGGAAAGGGAGAGAATGTTGGATTCGACCGTATTGAAGCTCCGGCAGGTACACTTGGTACAACAGTACTGCCAGCTCCTACTCCCGAAGCCTGATGTGTAGCCACCCCAGGTGCATGAAGATTACCTTGGTATGTTGAACGAGGGGCTCCAACATCTGATGTGGTAGAGGCTTGTGGGTTGCTACGAGACGGCTCGCCATGAGCTCTTCTTCTAGGGCGTCTACATGTCGCTTCCGTGTGGAAGAAAGTGCGACACCTTTTACACCATTCGCTGTCCGCACTTGCCATCTTCACCTCCATCAGATCTCTTTGGCAGGTTTTTACCCAGATCTTATCCTTCATGTGCTCCTTCCGGCTTGGATCGATGTCAAAACGAAGATTAACCAGCTTGGGGTCGGTCTCGTCAGCTTCTGGGAGGTGAGTTTTTACTATTCTTCCAATCGCCCTTCCTACGTGATTCCGCAAGAAGACCATCTCATCCAGAGGAACCCCAACCGCCACGACTCATCGATTGTCTTCCTCCAATCTCTTACTTCCGCCCTGGTCATCCACGGTTTGAAGTCAGTTCGGTAGGTAGTACCCACCAAATCGATGAAGTTTGTCTTCTTTGCCAGCATCCAGTCGGTGACTTCTTGTGCCCTAGGGATGTACGAGGCAACATTCGGAGACTCTACCTTAATCCTGCCACGCTTGAAGTCGGCTCCAAAGGCGTCGTCCCTTATCCAACCATCTTCATAGGCATGAATGACGTTTTCTTTCACCCTTCGCGGAAGGAATCTTGCTCCGTCTCGAAATATCACCGTGACTGTCCTGGATTTTAGCCACTTCACCTTTAGCTCATCGATCGATCTGTTCAGCACAAAGGCGACTTCTCTACCATTCACCTTCATGGTGCCTCCATCGATATTCGTTGGAAGGATACCATCTTCATAACACGCCCTCACCATTTCCTTCACCCACTCATCTTCTAGATAATTATCATTAGGGACCTGAGTTCTATCATTCTGAATCCCCATGTCTTGATCCCCAGAGGGGTATGCACCGCCTCCATTCTTCCAGGCAATTCCAAGAGCTAGCAATCACCCTCCAACTCATAGTCAGGAGTAAACAGTGACAATTAACATGTAAACCCAACACAAACGAACAAAACGAACAAACAGAAGGAAGGATCGTCAAAGCACAATTCTAGCCGATGACAACATCTACAATGGCTGCCGCCACCGACTTTCGTCAACACGAAAGCGTTGAGTGCCCACCCGCGTTGAGTGTTCCATGCCGGAACCGTCTCCGCCGACCAGGCCCGCCGAAAGGTGAGCGACTCTAGGACCAAGTGCGTAGCGCACCAGTACTAGCGCCGCTTCGGCCGCCGCCGCCGCTCCCAAACGAGCTCAGGTCGTGTTTTTCCTTCTCTCAATTTCACCTCACACTACCTACCTACCACTACTCCTAATTGTAGGCATACGGGGAACCCCGTAGCAGCCAGAACCGTGTTCACGAGAGATAATGCGGGGGCTGCTCCCTACCTGCAGGTGGGCGATACCGGCTAGGGGACAACCAGTAGCATTAGAAACCATGCCAACAGGACCAATCCCTGTGCCTCCCCTCATGTCCCCTCCCCTACGAACATCAGCAGACTCTGCTCAATGCCATCAGGAACCATGCCAATAGGATCTAGTGGTCTATCTCTAGATGGCAGGCGCCAAGCATGGCCAGGAAGGTACATGAGGCGAATGGGGATTGAGCCCACGACCTCCTGAATGCCACTTGCATGCCTTACCAACTGAGTTAGGCCACTCACCTCATACTATACACCTACTACTACTTGTAGGCATATGGGGAACTCCGTAGCAGCCAGAACCATGTTCACAAGAGAACATGCGGGGGCTGCTCCCAAGCTGCAGGTGGGCTATACCGGCTAGGGGACAGCCGGTAGCATCAGGGACCATGCCATCAGAACGAATCCCTATGCCTCCCCGTGCCTCCCCTCACGTCCCCTCCCCTACGAATGCCGATCGGGGGATCCAGTGGTCTATCTCTAGGTGGCGGGCGCCAACCATGCCCTGGAAGGTACATGAGGAGAGTGGGGATTGAACCCACGACCTCCTGAATGCCACTTGCGAGCCTTACCAACTGAGTTAGGTCACTGGATCCAATTCATGTTCCAACCTAGCACTACCGTCGGAAGAAAAAAACAACATTCATAGGCTTGGATCCCACAATGCGTTTTTAAGAAAAAGTCGAAAAAGTACCCTGAAAGTCGTGTCCGCGCCAACCGGTTCGTAAGAACGAATTTGGATCCCATAGGCCCGACGGGGAAGGCACTTCTCCACAAATTTTGCCCACATGCACTCCGTCCCAACTTCATCTACGGACATCCAACGGCCAACGGCCACGAAACGACAACAGAAAAAAAGGGAAAACCCAATTTTGCAGAGCCACCTACTTTCAGGGGAGGGGGTAGGGGTCAGGAACTTTTGGAAATTCGTTCACGAAACCAGCCACAACTCTCTCCCGTGCTGCCACGAAGGAGGCCCAAAGAAGAAACAGTCGAATTATTTTCCCTGTCCGCTCACCACGGAAACATGTGGAATTTTTTTTTTTCACGAAAGTACCCCTACTGAGGATTGTGGGATCCAAACCATACTAAGGGGCTGATCCCATCATTAGACTATGAATGTAGACGTGAAAACAAGGCCGACTTCTTTGGTGGTCTTCCTGGACCCGCATCAGTTCTTTACGGGCTGTTATAGAGGGCGGACGTTTTCACGGATTCCGTCAACCGACATGTCACACAACACTATGGTCCTCAGACATTCCTTTTTTTTTTTTTTTTGAAAAGCCCAGGTTGTTGTAGAGGTGGGAGACTAGACGGATGGCAGTCACCCACAGAACTGGGCCACTCGTTTATCCAGATGAACCTCTCTGAAGACCCCACCCACCCTTCCTCTCATCTTTTTGCCCTGGCGCACCCCCACCCCCCCTGTCCTACCCTAGCGTTAACCACCTAGGACCATCACTCATCGCCATCTTGGCGGGGTAACCTGACAAGACAGCGGTTGCAGGTACCGGGGCTAAGCAGAGACGCCTACTCCCTGCTCAGCCCCGGTTAAAGCAGACGCCGTGCAAACCTGATTGCATGGGGACTTCGGGAGCTAGGTATGAACATCTTACCACAGGTCTTCATGAGGGTGCAAAGTGACCCCCATCTAACTTAGTTGTGTGGTGATGATATTGAGTTGGGTATCCTCCGTTCCCTCGTATGTCCCTGGAGCCCATTCCGGCCATGACACCCCTGACATTCCGTACTAACTGCTATGCCAGCCTCAACCCTAGGCTACGTACTAGGAGGATAGCCAACCCTAGGTCATGAGTTATGAACTGAGTTTCTTATCCTTATGTTGGGATCCTCCTTTCCCTCATATATCCCTGGAGCCCGTTCCGGCCCCGCGGTAAGGTGCAATATCTCCCGACACCCCAACATTCGTACTAAGGACTGCTATGCCAGCCTCAACTCTAAGGTACGTACTAGAAGGATAGCCCACCCTCAATCGTGAATCATGAACTGTATGTATTGACCCTGGATAATCTATTATTCCTGTGTTGTATGGTAATCTGAGAGCAGACAATCCTTCGTTCCCTCATATGTCCCTGGAGCCCATTCCTACCCTGCTGACACTCCCGACATATCGTACTAAGGAGCTGCTATGCCAGCCTCAACTCTCAATCCTTTGACGACGTACTAAGAGGATGACCAGCCCTAAGTTACAGTTTGGTATCGAACACATGACCTTATGTGAATTGTGCAAGTGACCTAACCTATTGACCTACACGATGAAATAGTTTGTAGCTGTGCTCTGTTGGGCTTGAGTAAACCGGACTTTGCAAGCCACCTAGCAACCCCGTAGACCAAGGACATCAAGATACCCACCATCACCCAGTCCCCACATACAACAACCATGGACTACCCCTTGGGTGGTGCGCAGGTAGTGTCTGTAATAACTTACCAGCGTCATCCCAAGGGGGTGTGTATCCAGTTGTGCGTCATTCTAACGCCCTGCCGGTGTCCATGCGCAAGGCTACGAAGTTTTGAACCCGCAACCGCATACCACAATCCGCACTTTCAGCCAGTGTTGTAACCACCTCGGACATTCATAATGCTATAAACGGACACGCGAAAAAACTAAATAAAAAAAATTGCTCCCTCTTTTTCGAGGTTGTGAAGCCCTCACAGTCTACACGAGAATTGTACTAACTACGTTTGCACCCTTTTGCGAATGTGCGGCCACGACACGAGCAAACAAAATTGAACAAAATATTTTGGCATCCTCGACAACGTCGGAAAGTGGTGGGATCTCAAAACTACACTGTAATTGGGTTGTAGTGTAGGGGTGGGATCAACCCCTAAGACATTCATATTAAGATGCATCCATTGCTATTCATAGTAATGTATGCATTTTGCCCTTCTCTGCGGGTAGATGCATTCGTTCGTTTTTCGTTCGACAGTGGTGTGGCGAGGCCCTCAGACCCGCAAAAAAAAAAGGGTACGAATCGGCCCAAGTGCCCGAGGCTATACATCATTCAACAAGAGCTGCAAAAACGGACCGCGGGCTGGAATCCGATGGTTCAAGAAAACATAGGTGGCATGACCTGGGGTCAAGTCCCACTAGCATGGGGTAGTTGTAGGTAGGAACCCGGTGCCGAGCGTAAGTTATAGGGAAACGAGTGTGTGATGCACAGAAGCCGTAGACGGCTATACATCTGAAGGCTTATATGAAACCGCGTCAGAAAGAAAATACATGTGCCAAAACTAAACAGATGATGCTGTCGACAAAAAAAGTAAGTTGCTCCTTAACACTGGTCATGGAAACGCAATTCGTTTTAAGGAGTACAATGAAGCAAGTCCCAAGTGGTATTCCCATACAACCTTGCTAGAATTACAAAATCTCAAGATCAAGGTCAAAATAGTTTGGTCTGTGTAAGATGTGATGACATTTTTGTGCTTCATTCTGTGTAGCGGCATCCTCCAACTGAATCCTAACCTAGACAATGGTAATTGGGTCCGACTTTAGGTGACTGAGAAGAAGAAAAAGAAAAGCTGGTTTGTTGTAATGAAAGCACTACACGCATTTTATGAAAAAAATCCTTCATGGAATCGTGCGACTAGTATAGTAGACCTACACCTCAGATCACTTAATGTAAATAGTCTAGCTACCGCGGATTCCGAAAAAAGGAAAACTGTAACGGAATAATTGAAAGGGGTCGGTGGTCGTTCATGGCCAAACCTAATTTGTATCCAGGAAACCCATCTTACCTCTTCCCCAACCCATACACGTACTCATAACATTGTATGGCCCTTTCAAAAAATATACTCTCTAGCACTTAGAAGTGGTTCAGGAGGCGTAGCCATATGAGTCCCCCTTGAATCTAGGATTGAGGTAGTACATTGGGTGGTGGATAAAGAGCAGGGAAAATGGGTATCTGCGCTGGTTAAGTTAGAGCAGGAAATCATATGTGTAATTAACATCTACGATCCTAATGAAATTCAAGAGGGGGGATTTTTTTTCAAATGATTAGAACCCAAATTCCGAGTGAAATTCCTATAATTATGGCTGGAGACTTCAATGCAGCTCTGGACAGATGGTTAGATCGGTGGAAGATTCCTTCTCCTTGCCCGTCTTACATAGAAGAGGATGAGAACATCATTCATACTCTTTGTGAGAAAGAAGGTCTTTTTGACACATATCGTTGTATCTTCCCATAAGAAAAACTTTTTACTTGTATAAGGAATAATGGCACCCCACAACAATCCAGATCCCGAAAAACTTTAATTTTGATGTCAGAAAATCAGGATCATGCATTAGTCTGGGCAACGATTTTTCCACAGAGTCCGTGGTCAGGGGTGGATCACAAAGATGTGTGCAGTGCTCTTGAAGTTTAAAAAAAAAAAACTGATAAGGGAAAAAAAAATTATAAACTTAACACATTATTTCTAACATATATGAAATTTAGGCCGTACATAGAGGAAGTAGGGAAATACTGACACTCAAATAAAACCGAAGAAAGTTCGTTCATAGTATGGTTTAATAATGGTCTAACATTTCTAGCAACAAAATGCAACGAATATTCTTAACTTCAGGTTAAAAATAAACACCGACAAAAAATGTACATTCAAGAACAAATCCCTAATTACGAATCCCAAGAAAATATTGATGAAAAGTCTCAACCGATGGATATACAGACCCTTAGAAACCA